AAAAGGATTTTAATAATAAGGTTAAGTACTTTAAAGTAATCGGAAATGGCTGTGCTGCCCCAGTCTCACATGACTCATCTGCCTATAGCTTCATAATGGTTGTTGTGACATTTGTTGTAAATGTTATGCTCCCCGCTGAGTGGGTGTAGGGCTATGGTTTTAGATGGCAGCGCCTGAAAACCTGCTTTCTCCCCCTGGGGGAAAAGAGGTTGCTATGACAAATGGATCTTTTTCTAGGAATAACATGAGTCAACATTGTAAAGCAAGACCTTTAAATGCAAAGGAAGTCTTGTTAAATGATCATTTCTTTTTGGTCCCCAAACCATTTTATTGTAATTTACTCTTCAGTCAAAATAAAAATTTAGGGATTTTTTTTTTCACTGCCTATTTCAATTTTCTCTCAGCTCTCTGGAAGGAGAGAAGAAAATAATACTATCTAAAAAAATAGTGTGAAAGCCATCGGCAAACGTTGACGCATTAGGAGACTTTTTTGTTGTGAATGTGGTATCTTCTTTTTTAGATAGTCTAGATTTGGGGGTTGGGATCTTTTAAAGACAAAACAGACATCTTCGTGGATGCTATTCTTTTGTGTGTTTTTAAATTTATCTTTATTGTAGAAAGTATTACAGGTGCCCCTCCCCCATTAACCCCTTCTTCACCCCTTCCCCTGGCCTTCACAGCACTATTGTTAATGTCCATCGGTTATGCCTGGATGCTATTCTCATAGACATAGGCATTATCTGATAGACTACTCAGAGATGCCTCAGTTGTATGCTGCCTACCCAGAGTTACAAGCCAGTGAGGGGTAGAGCTCAAATGCAAAATGCTCAGCGTGTACTTCTCTTCACAAGGCCTGGCCATTTCTTACCAGGACTCCACATAAGTACGTTCTCTTTCTAAAGCTTAGGCATTATGTGGGTCCTTTTGAATGCACAGTACTAGTAAACTGAAAATTCTATATCCACTTTTGCTATGAGCTTCTTATTTCCATAACCCGTGTTTTCAAGAGTCATCTGTTGTCTTCTTTGCCTTATTTTCTGTTTATGTGTATTTTGTTTACGTGGATTGCAATATTATCCATAAGGTAGGCTTTTGTTTACCAGGCTGGTGAGGAAAGTATTTAAATTTTTAAGATCTTTATTCAAATGTGAGGAGACCTCCCCTGCCCGGACACCTGGCTCAGCCATATCCCTCTTCTCAGGATCATGCTCTTTCCGGTGAAATGCTCATTACCCATCAAAGCCTGGTTTAAAACCGACACCCTGCCCTGTGCCACTTCAGACTTGAACCCTGTTCCCGCCATAGCAGTGCTTACAGGTCATTAGCATTGGTGCTCCACGTCTCCGTGTATCTGAAGGGCATGTGACCTTAAGTGGTATAGGACCGTGGTTGGCAAACTCATTAGTCAACAGAGCCAAATATCAACAGTACAACGATTGAAATTTCTTTTGAGAGCCAAAAACCGACTCCTGTGCATGGGCCACTAAGTTTCAATCGCACTGTACATGCATGCCCACACATGGTATTTGTGGAAGAGCCACACTCAAGGGGCCTAAGAGCCTCATGTAGCTTGCAAGCCACAGTTTGCCGACCACTGATCTAGGCCATCTAGGTGATGCAGAACACCTTTGTATGCCCACCGCCTGTACCACATTATTCATCTAATTGTTACTCGTTAATTGCTTTGTGACTGTTAAATGATATCCATGTATATTTTTAATGTTTTCACTTGGTTTGACCACAGCAAACATTTCTGGTCCTGCGATTTTTTTAGCTGAAAACCATCGTCACACATTCTAAGTTGTGAAACACTGGCTTCTTAGCACAGCACTGATTTAAGGGCTGGATCTGTTTCAAAACTACTTGCTGGAAAAATCCTGGTTTTGCCTAAAAACACTGGTGAGCTCAGCAGAGAGCTAAGCTGGGGTAACCATCCAGCCTCACAAGAATCCTGGGCAGGACCCTTCTCTGTTTGCATGAATCAGCACCCCTCGGCACCTGTCTTCCTGACATTCCAGTGCATCTGCCCTGGGAGCTGTGTAGATTACAGCTCCAGGTTCTTATTAAGATCCATGAACCTGGAACTGGTAGACCGCTCCCATCAAAAAGGCCAAATTGAGGAGAGTTAGCATTAAAGAAGGTGATTTGGGGAAAGCATTTTTCAGGTCTGTTAAGTCATTTGCACTGTTAGCCATTGGAAGTCCACACAAATGCTCCACCTGCTTCCTTATCTGTCCATCAAAGGGAAATAACTAAGTCACATCCTAGTCCCTAAAGTTCACCGCCTCTGTGGGCAGAACTGGCAAGGACCGACTCGCCCTAGTGAACTCGGAAGACTTGCATTCGTAACATCACCAGGTCTTCTGCTTCCTTCTCACAGCCGGGCCAGCTGGACACTTTCATTCTTTGTATAAATACAAAGAATAATTTATTATAAACTAGATCCCAGTGCATGAATTTGTGCACCTTGAAGAGGAACTGTGGGCCCACAGGGGTGGGTCTCAGCCCATCCTCCATGCCCTTCCTGGTCCCTCCTGCACAGCCTCTAGCCCCCTCTTTGACAGCAGCCCTGCTCCCACTGCCACTGCTCCCCCACTGATGGCACAAAGCACCAGCAGCGGGTGTGAGCAGTGGCTGCTGTCCTGATCACCCTTCAGGAGCAGGGGGAGGTGGAGACGTCCTCAGGGGCCATCAGGGCTGTCAGCCGCAGCTTACATCCACTGATGGTGCCAAGTGATCGGGACCAGCTCCAGGCACTGGCAGCAGGTAGGAGGGAGCTCCAGGCAGGACTGCAGCTCACAGGAGCAAAGAATTTTCAGTAACTACCAGGGAGACACCCCAATGATGGCAACTGGTGCCCTGCCTTGGTCCTGCGACCCTGCTCACCTGCTCCACCATCCCATTACAGCCAACACCCTCTATATTTCACACTCTGCCACCTGCTGCTGACACCTGCCATGTTCTGCATGTGACCACTGGTGGTCAGAGCACATCAAGCAACCACTTGTTTGGCTGCTCTGCTATTCAGTCTATTTGCATATCGGGTGATAGATAGATAGATAGATAGATAGATAGATAGATAGATAGATAGATGATAGATAGATGATAAATAGATAGATATAGATATAGATATTGATTACTGCATGCTGTCAATGAGCTAGTTAACATTTTTACTTCCTCATACATTCTTTCTGTTCTTGTTCAGGTGTCTACTTTATACTTAAGATTTATGTTAGAAGAATATTAGTGTAAGCACAATAGCAACTTACAGTTTTAATACACAACTATTTCTCATAATCCCTAAAATAAAATTGCAATCTCGCACATTGCAATGAGGAACTCCTTTCCCACCATCTTCACCAGTAGCATTTTAGACAAAAAGTTGCACATAAAGCCAACATGATGTTAAAAGTTTCAGTATACCTCTAGATTTCCATGCACAAATATCTGATTTGTTCTTTAGAGGAAAAAACACACACATGCAAACAAAACAAAATCGAAGTTAGCTTGGAATTCCAAATTGGAATGAGAAAAATCTACATTTAACCTTCTGCCTTTCTGCTCCTAAGGCTATGACTCATCTCCAAACAAGCGCCTGACTGAGGTGATGTTTTGGAATAACATCCTGTGTTTTGGTGGCGCATCACTCTTCAGTGACAGTCTGAGGTAGCATTATATGAGCACATGATATTTCCCCCAGTTAATTGATATCCCAGGTTTGTCCAGGGGAAAATCTACAGCTCCCCCAAACATGCTTGACAAGTTATTATATTTACTTTAGTCAAAGCCCGTGTGTGCAATATCCCTCTTGGAGGTGGTCTCTTATTGGAGTCCCATATGCTTTTTGTTTGGGAAGAAAGCAGCCACTGTGTCATACTGTTACATGGAGTATTCTTTTTCAGAGATGTTGTTCCCTTGGGGACCATATCAGGCCAGAGTTCCTTAGTCTAATAAGACCTTTGTAACTCTTTTTGTGTAAGAGTTCTGGGAGGGAGGCAAGAATTAAACAGAAAATGTAATTCAAGCAACCATATTAGGCCACATGTGGGAAAACATGACTCTGAGTATTGTATTAAAAAATAAAAAGGTATTTGTTGTAAAAAGGAGTGAGATGCCAACATGTGAAGCATTTTTCAGTGAAAACGAAGGCTATTATGGTACAGGGAATTAATAACACTTTAACATTGATTTTCATTTCTACATATGAATGACATATGAAAAAGCACCACACAGTTGTCTATTCACAAATTTTATATTAAAATATGATTAATTACCATGGGAGTCCTTTATAGTGATATTTAATCTAAGATTTCCTTGTGTGAGCTTTCCCATCAGTACAATGATGTTTAACTCATATAAAGATAATGATTTTATATACATATATGTATATATCACTCAGTAATACAAAAAGTATATATACTCATAGGAATTATTTAGTTTTATTGTTGTACTTTACTGATTGATGACACAAAGATTTTTATCTGTGCAGCTAGAATTATAACAATGAATTTTGCAAAATCACTACGGAAGACCTTTCTTCAGATTTTGTAATTATGTCTGAGGATTTCAATTTTTTTAAAAATCCTCACCTGAGGACTGAAGATATTTTTTAAAATATATTTTTATTGATTTCAGAAAGGAAGGGAGTGGGAAAGAGAGATAGAAACATCAGTGATGAGAATCTTTCATTGGCTGCCTCCTGCACATTCCCTACTGAGAATCAAGCCCATAACCCAGGCATATGCCCTGGACTGGAATCAGTCTGCAGGCCAACGTTCTATTCACTGAGCCAACCAGCGAGGGCTGCTTTAATTTTTGCCTATAACATTTGGATACAGAAATCATAAAATAAATTATCAAAATAGTTAAAATTACTTTGACTAAATGTGATAAATTAAAACTATTGTCTGAAATCTAAACATTCCACGGTAAAATATATGGTATTGTAAACTTTTGAGACTCCTCTTTTCATTTTTCTTCCCTGTATCTTTTCTTTATAGCAAATGGTTTCACAGCAACGCATTCTGATTCACGAAGATTCCATGAACCTGCTAAGTCTTTATACCTCTCCCTCTTTGCCCAATATCACCTTGGGACTGCCAGCAGTACCAACCCAGCTCAATGTAAGTAGCCAATCAGAGCAGCCTACTGCAGCCCAAGGAATGCTGTCACAAAGGGACTCTCTTATATTTAGATTAGACTTCAGGGAAACTGGGTAGAGGCCATTATCCTTCCCTGTTTACTGAGTCCTTCAAAGATGTCTGGTTGAATTTCAGATTACAGGATTATACTGCTTTGCACAATAATATATAAAAATAACAACTAACATTTGTATAATAGTTCTTAGCCTTTAAAAAACAAAAAAGAAAAGCAGTGCTTTCAGCTATTTCATTAGCTCCACAAAACCATCCCAAGAAACAGAGATTGCAAGCCACATTTTTACAAAAGAAGAAGCTGAAACTAGTAATGTTTAAGAGTCCAAGATCATGGAACCACTAAGCAGCAGGCCTGGCACTCTGCCCTGCCAGTGCTGAGAGGTGCAGCTTCTGTCTAAAGCACAGCACATATGTTTATGGGATTTATTTTTTGGTGAATGACTTTATTTTGAGAATTTATGTTACTGACTCTATCTTACTGAAGAATACATATCTGGAAAACCTCTTTAAGAACAATATTAAATTCTTCCCAGGAGACTTAAAGCGAAGAAATTACTTTAAAAGCCCTGACAACTGAAATAGAATCTTTTGGAGGTAATTGTCCAACTAGCAGAAGACAACAATAATTACTTTATACGTAGTGCCTAAAATTATGGAAATGTTTGTCATTGTAAAAGATTTGTAAGCATCCATTTTATAGATGAATTGTAGAATAATCCATCCATGAAATGTATGAAAACTAAGTTAATTATGCTTATGCAAAGGTGATACTTTAAGCTGGCAGCGGTTTGGCTCAGTGGATAGAGCATTGGCCTGCGGACTGAAAGGTCCCGGGTTCGATTCCGGTCAAGGGCATGTACCTTGGTTGCGGGCACATCCCCAGTAGGGGGTGTGCAAGAGGCAGCTGGTCGATGATTCTCTCTCATCGACGTTTCTAACTCTCTATCCCTCTCTCTTCCTCTCTGTGAAAAATCAATAAAATATATATATATTTTAAAAAGGGTGATACTTTAAGTTTAAAGAGAAATTTGTTCTAACAATTGGCACCAATTTTGCCAATCTTTAGAAGCAAGTCTTTCACTGCATGCAGCTTGTCAAAATTCACATACTTTATAATATTCCCAGATCAGGATAATATAAAGAGTGGACCATTTTGTGACCTAATTTGTTTTCAGGATATAAGACCTGTTTATGGGATGCTAATTTATGTACAAGCACACTTATAGTGACATTATAAAAAGACACAGTTGATGATTGGGTTCAACACATATTATAAAAGCAGTTTAAGGTGCACCTTATATATTTGGTATTTTTAATAGAGTGGGATTTTAGCTTATGTGATACAGTCACTTATACTAGTGAGGAGAAAGCAAAATTTGGATGTTGTTATATATCTAGGGATTGAAGAGGAAAAATGTAGAAATACCAAATTCAGTTATACTCTTAGAATTCCACGTGAAGCATTTATAAACAATTTTTAATTGTTTAGCAAAAATCAAAAAGGAATTAGGGATGAAAAAAACATAAATATGCATTGATATTTTCAAATCTTCACTTACTAAAAATTATTTTTCTCCTATTCCTGTTTTCCCTGTCTCTTCCAATGATAAGCAAATACTGACACAAAAACTTACGACACATGAATAAGCATTTTATATCCACTCCTCTTTGCAGGCTCGACGTCAGTCCTATCACAAACATACACCACTTTTCATGTGGTCAGGGGGAATTTTTTTCTCAAAGGACCCAGTAGGAAAGCCAGACCATTTAATGTTTTGATGGTAATACAATTTGGTGCCGTTGGATGAGTAAACCAATGCGGTTTGGATTGAAGTTTCATTTTTCTTTGCTTCCATTTTGGTGTGGATGAGGCCATCACAATTAATTTTTCAAGCTTAGTAAGGCTTTGGCAAAGGGACCTCTAATATTCCATTTCCCCACTGAGTAGTGGGAAATTTTTAAGGAAAAGAGGCCAGGAGAAGGAATCACTTCTAGATTAAATATTGCGTTGACTTGCTGTGTGGCTAAGACAAACCATTTACCTCTTGGTCCTTTAATTTCTCCATCACTGAAAATTGCTTTGCTTCCCTGGTGCACAGCAATTTTGAAAGATGAAACATGAGTTTTGAAAAGAAACATGCCACATAATTTTGAGGCATTACACTTCTGCTTTTGTAATACCCACATGACCACCATTCATTACGTTATTTGACTAGGATAATTCATTATTACTATTGATGATATAATTATTATTGCCTTATTACTGTTATCATACATTTCAAGTTCTTAATAGTGTTTTTATTTGATATAATTCCACTTGTAGTTTATTTTATTAAATGAAAATATCTGGAATGTCATTTTCAATATTTAGAGATTTGGGGATCTGTTATGAATTAATATAAAATACATGTTTAAATCAGATTCCTGCATGTTTTGTATAACCTCTCATTGAGTTACCTGAAGAATTTTATTTTAAAAAATAAATATTGGAAATTTACAGCTCTCTGAACTTATTAGAGGACAAGAGAGGACAAGTAGAGAAAGGACCAACTGTCTCTTCTGCTTGAGACTCCAAAATCACAGACCATTTTACCTTTAGCTTCTTATTGGCTGTGATTTGTCTTTAGGTTAGAAATTTCAACAAATTTTACTTTTACAATATACCTTATACTTAATCAGTACATTAAACTATTTTAGAAATAAACTTCCTACTTATTAAGAATGAAATTAGCACCATTTAAAATTTTTTTTATTGATTTCAGAGAGGAAGGGAGAGAGAGATAGAAACACCAATGATAGAGACAATCGTTGATTGGCTGCCTCTTGCAAGCCCCCTACTGGGGATTGAACCCACAACCGGATCATGTGCCCTGACTTGGAATCAAACCTTATCTTCCTGGTTTATAGATTAACACTCAACCACTGAGCCACACCCCACAAACACCATCATTTTTAATGTTAAAGATATTTTTAAGTTCAGAACAATGATACCCAATACTCAACTGTCTCCAGTGCTTCAACTCTACTTTTATGTCTCTTGTGTCAATTCAGTTAGTTTAAAAGACATGGCTGTTATCCATTTTCCCTACTGAGCCATAGGTAAGATGGGTCTTTTTTTTCTGGGGGATTGGGGGGACAGGGAAAAGTGCCATAGGGTATGAAATAAAAAACAAACAAAAAACTAATGATCTACAGACCTAACGAGCCACCTGGAAGGAAGAGGATTCACATCTTTGTTATTTCCCAACACAGGCTTCGAATTCACTCAAAGAAAAACAGAAGTGCGAGGCCCAGACCCTTAGGCCAGGCGTCCCCCTGCCTGGGCAGTACGGGGGCAGCATCCCTGCACCTTCCAGCCACCCCCACGTCGCCCTGGAGGGAAAGCCCAACAGCAGCCACCAGGCTCTCCTGCAGCATTTACTATTGAAAGAACAAATGCGACAGCAGAAGCTTCTTGTAGCTGGTAATTAACAAGGGCACCATTTGGAGGTTATGTGGGGGCTTTTATTTTATCAGCAGTGCAACGTGATGTCTTTTTAACTCGAGACACTGAAAAGATTTACCATTTACCAAGGTCTCCCTGCTACCTGGTCCTGTGGGAAAGGCTGTAATCCTTAGTTATCCCTCTAGCTCCATGAAAACAAAACAAAACAAAACACAAAAATATTGACCTTATTTAACCTTCACATACTAGAGTGGAGTACGGGTGAGTCATTGGTCAGATACATGCCTGTTCAATGCTTTGGCACTTCTGCCTTCACCCCATCCACCCTCGCTTTCTTCCCGTGTATCCTGTATATCTGTTTTCTGTAGATTCTTGTGTTTTGTACATAGATATATATGTATATTTTTTCAGGTGGCGTTCCCTTACATCCTCATTCTCCATTGGCAACAAAAGAGAGAATTTCACCTGGCATTAGAGGTACCCACAAATTACCCCGTCACAGACCCCTGAATCGAACCCAGTCTGCACCGTTGCCTCAGAGCACCTTGGCTCAGCTGGTCATTCAGCAGCAACACCAGCAATTCTTGGAGAAGCAGAAGCAATACCAGCAACAGATCCACATGAATAAAGTAAGCCCCCAAGTCCAAGTGTCATAACCCCTATGGTGGACATTGGGTTTCTCTTCCCTGACCTATGCATTCAAGGGGTGAATATTGGTATATATCATAGTTTAAAGGAGATTGCCTTCTGGACTCAAGGATACCATAACACTATCAGGTTTTGCAACATCTTTGCATTCATGAAGTATTTGCAGGGATGTTGAGATTATAGATGAGCAAGGTCTTTCATGGTTGAGCACCTATTTTAATGCATAAAGACATGCAGGCACATGTGTGCAGAGTTTCATTTCTATTGCAGAAAAGGCTTGAGGCAGAGTTGAAGGTGTTGCATTGACATCTCCAAAGGTTTGCCCAGGTGCTGGCAGAAACGGCAAGGTTAGCCAACAAGTCTTTTCCAAAGCCACGTTAGATCTGTTTTTGAGAATTTCCCACTCTGTTCCAAACAGTGTTTAAAACAGTTTCTCAGAGCCTTGTGGTAATTTCCTTCTGGCAGCCCTGTTGTGGCTGACATGGACAGCGAATGAACGTCTGCATCATACCACATCCTTAGACAGTCTCCCGCTGAGGCAGCCACAGACAGACAGTGATTGTGGTCTAACAATAGCAGGCAGGCTGGTGAAGTGTTTTCAATGAACTTTTCAGCTAAACCTTTCAGCCTACAGAGTTTTGCTGCTACACTCCGCTATGGTTGACATATGAGACAGAACCTTCTCCTTCCTGGAGAATATTAAGGTCCTGAATAAAAAGATTCTATCTGCTCGCCTTTGTTCTGTATCACCTACAAGTACCTTATGGAGGCCTTCTATATTGAGATATTATATTGAGAAATGGTGTCCTGTTTGCCAATAGACAGCTTACAACTGGCTTAGTATTACAGTGTCTTGCTGGATTGTAAACAAAGCCAAGCCTCGTGGGCAAAGGTCTCATCATCTTCCTAATAACAGTAGGGAAAGGGGGTTTTCTCATCTGCTTACCAGAAGGCAGGTGGGCCTAGAGTTTGCCTCTTCTCTTTGGCCTCCACTTTACAAGGCTGAGCCATGATGAGAGGAGCATGGGCTGATGATACTACTGAACAGAAATTCTTCCAGCTCAGCCCTGTGATGCTTTCAAAGATTACGCGTATATGTGTGGGATGGGGAGTGGGTGGGGGTAGGTTGCTAGCAGTGGCAACTACCTCTTTTGCCATTTTTCAGTCTACTGCAGACTCCTTATATGTCAGTAGATTAATGCCTCTTTTATCACTATTGCATTTCTCTGAATTATCAAATTATTTTGTATAAAATCAGTCTTATCATAGGAGGACTAGGTTCTTTCTTGTATGGCGGTGTAATACTCTTGGACTTAAATGTGCTGCCACATCTGTTTGCTGTATGATGGTAGAGTAAGTTTGTTTGTGGACGCTCTGCACTACTTAAAACTGCCAGGTATTCTTGAATAAAGGTCCTGTGTCTAGTGAGAAAAATGCATGTGGAAGGAATTATTGGGAAGTCTACTTTTTTGCCTGGTAATATTCTGATCTGGATATTTGTTAGATTCCTATGAATACCTTTAAGAATACCTTGGAATACATGTTTTACAACCTAGAGTGACCACTGTTTCAGACTCAAATGGTATGCTGGCATCAGAGTCTTCGTACTTTAGTATTACACATGAGATTTCGATAGGCGATGCTTCTCTCCATCACGTGGCAGAAACTAAGATGGAAAGCAAGTATTTGCAGTTGAGCCATGAGGAAGGAAATTTTATCAGAGCCCTTCTTTCATGTGGAGCTGATTCCTTGGAATCTGTTAAGAATTCTTCCTAAAATTAGAAACAAACCAATACTTTTAGGTACCTGTTTGCACAGTGGTTTGATTATGAAATCTTGTCTTAATTAGGCAAAATGAAGTCCAGAAAACTTCAAAGCTCAGAGCTGATCTTTCTATATCAACCCCTCTCGGCTCGGGTGTTTAGATTACTCATGCACGTCTCCTCTTGGCTTTGGACCAAGTCTGTATTCCATATGTTTAATCAAGATGGCGTATGTGCATTGGGTATCCTCCAGATTTTGAAAACATTTCACCTGCCCTCCATTGTCAAAGGGAACAGAGAAGAATGTGGTTAAATAAAATATTAAACCTCTGTCCTCTTCTGAAGTATTTGCAATAGAACCATCAAGAAGCAAATCGCTACTGTTCACCCTACCCCATGAGGTGGCAAAAACATTTATTTCACATTAGGTGAGGGCCGTAACTTAGATGTCAAAGCTACCAAGTTTCTGTATAGTAAGATATGAATGTGTCCTATAACTATTTAGACTACCCACTAATGAGAAATAAACATAAAAACTTTATATCATTTCCCCCCCTGTTATCTTGGATGAACTGTATTGAATCCATTCAAACTGGAGCCTACTAGTTGACATCATAAAAACATGGCCCCTTCTCTTGAAAACCTTTATAATAGCGGGGAACATAGACATGTGTGGAGACGTAGACATGCAGATGACATAGGTTAAAATCTCTCTGTCTTCTACTTCCCCAACTTCTTTTCAGGGGGGAGATTTAGGGAAGCAAAAATGGGGACTGACAAGAAAGAAAAAGCACGTTTATTTCTAAGCCTACATTATATTAACTATGATTGGTCTTCATGGTATGAAATTTTTAATGATATATTTTGATTGCTAATGATCTTTAGAAAATTAGAAGCAGAACTATATTTTTCAGAGCATAGTTTATACAATGATTTGCTTACTACATTTTGAAGACTTTCTCATAACTTGCTATAGTTTGAATGCATTTATGAAAGTGGTCACCCATGTCTGTTGTAACTATACTATGTAAGTTTTGTTAATTATACTAAGTAATTTATCTGCTTTCTGCCTGATTTACAGTGACATTTACATGAGAAATTTGTGTGTTGTAAGAATTATTTGCCTGATATAATTATGGTGTAAGTACTCATAGCTTAGTAGAGGTATCCATGGGATGGGTTTATGTAATATTTGTGTTGTTACATCTATAGTATAGGGATAGAAAGGTGAGTGGAAATCCTGTCCAAATGATATATCTCTGCTAATCAGTATAAACTTCTACTCTCACTGAAAGTGTTTTGAGAAGCCTAACCATAAGAAATTCATTACTTAAAACATTTGTTCTTTTCTCTTTTTGAGACATTGAAAAATTCAGAAATGTTTTAAACAATTTTTATTGCTGCTATATGGTACATTCACGCAATGATGACTTGTGAGCCTTTTTTAAAAATCCCAAGTTATGTTAGTATCTTTTATTTTTTTCCTAAGATTTTTTAAAATTTGATTTTTACAGAGAGGGTTAGAGAGAGAAAAAAACAAACAAACATTAATGTTGGAGTAACATCAATCAGTGGCCTCATATATGCCTCCTACTGGGGATAGAGCCAAAACCTGGGCATGTGCCCTGACCAGGAATGGAACCAGCAACCTTTCCATGCATGGGATGACTCAACCACTGAGCCACACCAGCTATGGCTTTTTTGCTTTCTTGTTAGTGGAAGAAAAAAATGGCTTCTAAAATAGAATTTTCTTCATAAATGCAAAAGAGAAAACATAAAAGTAAAGAGTATTGATAATTTTTTTTCTGAGCTTAAATTTAAGTATTACTACAGATTTTCCTGTAAAGTAATACTATGACAAATGAAAACAAAACACACCTCAATTATTTGGCTATATTTATGATTTTTGAAGTATTCTGACCACTGCCTATTTAAATGAAGGGCAAATTTCTGGTCACACCGCTATCCAAATGATATACAGAAATTTTCCGAAGTATCTTCAGGCATTTTTATGGTGAGACAATTTGACGTAGACCACTGCCCCCAGCCAATGACATTTTTCTTTGAATCCCTTTATTGCTACAGTAATAATAGAATAGCATCATGACTAATAGTTCCTATTTTAACTAGAATTATAGTATCTTTTCTCATACCTATATTTTTCACATTCATTCTTCTAAGTTCATGTGAGCAGAAATTTAAAGAAACCTCTTTCTTCATTCAGTACTTATTTGAATTAAATAATTCTGTGCTTATATCCATTTAGCAAATCATATTGAGCTCTTGCTTTGTGCAGGCACTGTTTTGGGCTCCAGGAACACAACATTCACTGTCCTCATGGAGCTTGCAGTGTGGGAGCATGAGAGTGTGATATTCCAATCAATAGTCAGAGTTTCAAAATAGAAGACATGAGGGAAGGAGCTTGTTTTCTTTGAGGAAATAAGACTTGAGACTTGGTTGGTTACTTCTCTGGATTGTCTTGTCCATTATACATCTTTCATTTTTTTTCCTTTTTACTTTCTTTTTTTTTTATCTTTCTCTTTTTCTTCCTCTCTCGCCCTCTCTCTTTTTTTTTCTTATATATGCTTGGTGATAAATATTTTATACATTCCTGTGACTGGATACCAGCCAACACTTTTTAAAAAAATCCACATAAATCATGAGATGATATCTTATATATGTCAAGGTTCACTTCAGATATAAGTATTTATTATATATTTATTACTCTATACTTAGGCATTTTGACATGAGAGCTATTTTATCATAATAAAAATATATTTAAGGCACGACCGGTAAAGGGCAGGCCAAGCAGATGTCCTGTGTTGCCCTTATTCAAACAGGTAAATATTATATCTGACAAGCAAGGCATGAACATAATTTGACTCAAATGCTGGAACAGAGCAAATGGGAAGCTTTCATTAAGTTTTAGAGGAGAATTTTATCCTTTATGTGCGTCGTATCTGTTATATTCCTTTTCTTGACATAATTTCTAACATAAATGTTATATATTCTCTGTAACCCTTCATGATTCATACCCCTCCTTGTCCTGTGTAATCCATCCACAGCAGCCTGAGGGAGTATATTCTTTCATGCCTGTGGTCACATACAAACAGAGCATGTGTATGTATGTGTGTTATCTTTTTTTTTTAATTAAACATTCCTGAACTCAGTCCTAAATAAAGTTATTTTGTGTACTATTGAGCAAAGTGTATATTTTC